TTGTTGTTTTCCCAGGTTGGAAAAACAGAACCAGAGGTTGTTCACCAACCTATCACCTGCTATTTTGTCCAGCCATGTTGGTTCTGTTGCTTGGAATTATTTGGGATCATCCCTGGTTGTTCCCAGGTTGATTCCCAAGGTCCTTGCTAGCTAGAGCTATTTATTCCTTCTCTGTTTGTACCTGAATATAGTGAAATTGATTCAAGCGAATTCCTTCCTTGCTGGAATTTCTTGTCTACGCGGTGCGACGGCGGAATGCTACCCGAGTCAACGCTAGTACGCTAGCACTCCAACGCTAGGCTAACGCTGTCCGAGCCATAACTTCGTAATGGCAGAACTTTTCGCGAGGCAACTTGGCTTATTTTAAAGCTCTTAGAGTGAGCTTCGATATAGGAAATTCTCAGCTTAATCCGATCGACGGTCTGCACGATACGCTGCGCGACGTTCAAGGTACTCTTGCTGTTTTGACTAAGTCCCTCTTGATTCCTCTCTCTACAAACTCGGACCCGAGGATAGGGGCTGGTCTTGTACCAGGCACCCAAGGACCCTTGGAGGTGACCCCGAGGAGAGGTTTTAAGTGTGATAAAGTCTTAATAGCTTGAGTTTATTAGGCCCTTACACCAACACGGATGGCCAAGGCGGTGGTGCCAGAGGACAGTCTCGTGTGCCAGAGAGCGACACGAGCAGGGGGCCGACAGCTGACCTGAAGCGGACGCAGACGCAGTTTCAGCAACCTGAGGGGACTCAGTAGTCAGTGTGTACAGGTCCGACCCCGGCTGCCGAGTGAAGGTAGCCAAGTGACGGCCCGTACGAGCACACATACAGTGTGTCACGCGCTCGTAGGCAGGGGTGAACTGGTGAACACCCCCGTCCTGGAGCGCACATCCTGCCACCAAGTTCGTACAGAACGAGGGGAGGTGGAGACCTGACAGTGTGCCCGACGGGACCGCAGGACAGGGAAGGACAGTGGAAGAGGTCGCAATGACCGGACCCCCAGAGGGGTCAGCAAGGGAGACAGCTACTGGCCGAGCGTGGCTCAAGGGCAGTGCAGTCACGAAAGAAGCAGCGAGAAGCACCTGAGTCCAGTGTGAAGGTGTGCAGTGCTGCAGTCGACTCAGTACCAAGGGGGGCAGACACACAAGCACCTAGAGCAGCTGCCTCACCAGCACCTGGGGTAGCCGACACGCGAGTACCTGGAGCGGCAGACGCACTAGCCCTAATGCCCGGGTCTGGCGGCACACACAAGTACTCAGCACCCTCTCCACTAGTAGACATCACATACATAGCAGATAGAATAGCATCAAAGTCTAGAGCATAGATATCAATCCCCTTCTTCAGGAGATCAATCCAGCGGGGCAGCTCAGTTGCCTGAGGGAACTGAACACGCCAGGCGTCGTCGAGACGAGCGAAGCAGCGCTGTGTGGCGTGCGGTCGTCCACACTGCTGACCAGAGCGGTCACCAGTGCGAATGACGTACGTGCAGCTAAAACCACCCCCACCCCCGTGCTGAGAGTACCACTCACGGACCTCCTGGGGCGAAGGAGTGTGCTGCTGGCCCTGGCCACCGCCAGCGCCTCCACGACCACCACCGCCGCCGCCACCTCCTCGACCACCCCAACCTCTGCCGCCGCCTCGTCCACCGCCACCCCAACCACCACCTCCGCCCCTGCCACCTCCCCCGCCGCTGCCGCCACCACCCCCACGGCTGCCACTAGTCCCCCCAGTCGTGCCACCACCCCCGCCGCCTCCACCGCCCCCACCGCCGCCTCCCTCTCCGTCACCACCACCACCCTTGCCCCCTTTGCCCTTGCCGCTGCGGCGCCCGCTCGAAGCAGACGCAGCGCCGACCTTCTCAGCACCAAGAAGGTCGACAGCAGCAGCAGAGGCGACAGAGGGAAGAAGGGGGGAAGGAGAACACCCCTCAAAGAACGGGGTACGGGGGTCGCCACGAGAGGCACCTACAGCGACTATGCTAGTCTCAGCTGCAAGCAGTTCCTTCTCGAGGAGGGCAATGGTGAGCTCAGTGGGGCAGCGAGCTAGGAAGTGGTCCCTGACAGCACGAAGTGTGTCAGGGAGGCGGGTGACTAGGTGGTAGAGAGTGAGCCAGAGTGGAGAGGGGTACGTGGCAAGGAACTCAGCGGGCATGGCGGCACGGAAGCGGGCCTCACTAGTACGGAGGTGCGTAATGAGGTCAGCGACTGTGTGAAAAAAGGCCAGGTCGGGAAACAGGTAGGGGAGGGAGAGACAGCCTAGTGCGACAGAGGCAGGTGAGGAGTAGCGAGCAACTACAGCGTCGTATAGTGCCTGTGCAGTCTTGTGCTGGCCAAAGTGCTCGCGTTCGTCTATCGGCAGGGAGTTGCGAATAGCGAAGCGAACGTGGGCATCACGAGTCTGCCACTGTGAGCGAGCAGTGCTGTTAGCAGTAGCAGCAGGGGCAGTGACATGGCCTAGGGCGTGATCGTACAGTGAGATGTCATCCTTGGCTGTGAGCTGTAGGTAGAGGTGCAGGTCATCTAGCCAGGTGTCAAACTTCACTGGGCGGCCCTCAGCATCAAATGCTAGAACCTGTGGGCTAGCCATAGGAGCAGTAGAAGTAGCAGCAGTAGCAGTAGAAGAAGCAGGTACGGCGGCTCAGTTCGGGCAGGGCGGCGCGGCTCGGGTGGGGCGGCTCGGTTCGCGTCGGGTCGCGCGGCTCGGCTGGGTTCGCGCGGCTCGGCTCGGGTCACGCGGCTCGGGTCGCGCGGTTCGGGTCGCGTGGCTCGGTTCGGTCGCGCGGCTCGGTTCGGTCCCGGGCTGTGGCGGTACCAGGCCGTTCGGGGCCGTTTAGGGGTCGTTGGGGCCGCTAGGGAGGTAAGCGCGAGGCCGTTCGGGGCCTTTTAGGGGTCGACGGGGCCGCTAGGGAGGTAAGCGCGGGGCCGTTCGGGGCCTTTTAGGGGTCGACGGGGCCGCTAGGGAGGTAGGCGCGGGGCCGTTCGGGGCCGTTTAGGGGTCGACGGGGCCACTAGGACGGTGAGCGCGGGGCCTAACGGGGCCACTAGGGGCCGACGGGGCCGTTTTGGGGCGCTAGGGAGGTAAGCACGTGGGCCGTGAGGGGCCTCTAGGGGCGGGCCGTCAGTGCCTTAGGTGGCCGTGAAAAAACCGAGGCGCCCTAGGTAGGTAGGTAGGTAGGCAGGTAGGTAGTGGTGGGCCCTTAATAGTTCGGTCCTAGGAAGGACCTGCTCTGATACCATGTTGGAAGAACTGAACAGGAATGGTTGAACTAACAGTGAAAACAGTACAAGTACCTAACCCTAGAACTGTGTACCCCTTACAGGCTAACCCACTGTAGCCTAAACAAGCACAACAATATATATAATGTTTGACAAACTGTACGGAGAGCGGTTAGACCCTTTGGGTGACATCTGACCGTACATAACAGCAGACGCGGGCAATGCACGTCGTTATCTGCGGTTGTGTTACACTAGGAGAGGAAGTGGTGTATTCTAACGCCACAACCCCCCCCCCCACACAAGCCCCCCACCGCACATTTCCCCGACCCCTGCTCGCCGCACACCCCATCCCATGCTCTAGGTACACACGGCTCTGGCACTACCCGGGACCCCAAGTAATGGGGGTTCCCTGCAACCGCACTACGCACGTGCAATGCCGAAGTTACACGGGCACCCTGCTTTCACGTGGGTCCAGTACTCGGCAGATAACAAGACGAAACGCATCGGCAGACTTTGCCTCCTTCTAACAGCAACACGAGATGAAGGCGCATCGCGGACTCCAGGGCGTGAGGAGGTGGCTCTCATTCTAGCCGTTAACGAGGGCGAAGTTCATCAGGAGTCAGGCTGCACGGAACTGACCATGGCAGCTGCGGGCGGGGCGTTTGTTGTGATCCTAACTAAGAGCATCATCAGAACTGTGCACGTCGTGCAATCCTTCTCGCGCGCCCATGTATGGTACCTGAACAAGTGGGCGGACCGGTGCAGGGAGGTGCACAATGCGCTGGAGTGACGACACGGGCGCAATCACGGGAGAGAAGAGCATGGGCAAGGTAACCCTCACCAAACCCCAAGAACTATCGCACAGAGCCAAACTAGCATCCCAGCAGCGGGTAACTAACAGGGTTTCCAACCCAATCCCTGACCCCCCTACCCCAACTCCCAGCTCCTCATTACCCGCTCTCCCCCATCCACTTCTCTACCTGAAGGCCTGGCACCAACCCATCGTTTTATCGATCTCCTCCTTCTCCCATCCCTTAAGTACCCTCCTCGCACCCAGCTCACACGCAGCACTTCTGAGCTTGAAACGCTGACGCCCATACTCACATCGCCGCCTGTGACATTGAAACCCGTATCAGTGACAGCTGAATATACTGAAAGACAAAGCTCCGCATGAAGTCCGTGCCAGGTAGCTTTGTTACGGCGCTTCATACGGCCCTTCAAACCTCCCTCTAACCCTTCCTCCCATTCTCGTGCTGCGAGGATCCTACCGACATCGCAGTGCATGGCGGATCCCACCACGTGCATCACCCGGCCCCACTCGGTGATCGAGACCTCAGAGGTGGGCACACCCGACTCCCTCTCCCAACTCCCTCGATCCCCTCGCACGCGCGTATAGTACACCCCCCCCGCTTCATGTGGCCCTCTGCTACAAAGATACAGAAAACCCTTAGCGAACGCCACGGCCATACCCCACACCATCCGTTGTGGTGATACAATTCCCCCCCCCCCCCCCCCCCCCCCCCCCTCCCCCCCCCTCCTTCCTCCTCCCATCCGCCCCCTGTCACCCCATCTATTGCAGACGATGTACCAACATGGTATTACGGGGCACGGGCCCATCCTACCCCGCGACGCTAGTTGACTTTGACGATGGCGCGGACTCACCGCCACACAAAACCCATGTCACCAGCTGAGCGCCGACGGACCCCCTTACACACAGAGCGGAAGAGGATCCTGTAGTAATCTGCGGGGAGTACCGGGTATGCATGACCTACCCGAACCTCCTGCGAGTAGATGGAAACGACACCGTGCGCATCTGAGGCTGGTGGGGAGAAGAGGATGGGAGCCCTGGAAGTGGAGCGGTGGATGGGGCCGGATCAAGAGTTGCTACTAAGCGGAGAGGGGATTGCTGTGATGGCAGGGTACACAGTGATTGCCGCGAGAATGGTCGGAGGGGAGGAGGGGCTTCCTGTGGAGGAGGGCAACGTGGAGCTGATGCGAGTGATAAGGAGAACTCGCGAGACCGTACATGGTAAGAACATAACATAGACGGGGTGTAAAGTTGTTGGGCGGGGTGGAGTGGCGAGTGGGGGAATGGGGTGAGGTGTAAAGGGATGACCTCGGATGGGATTGGAACGGTAGGGATGGGAAGGGATTGGACTAGATGGGCAGGGTAGGGCTGGGATGGCTAGGGATGGGATGGGATGGGATGGTATGGGACCGGACCCGGAGGGAAGGGCAGGGCAAGGGAGGGCAGGGATGGGATGGGAAGGGACGGAATGGGATGGGCTCGTATGTGATGAGCTTGGCGTAGTACAACGTAGATACTGTGCCTATCGACACATTCACCCGTGGAGAGCGTCTCGTGGCACCGACTGGGTAAGGAAGCGTTAAACGGCGTAAGATGCAGGGGACGAACGGCTTGTGTGACCATGTTCCCTCCCAACCCGTGAATGTCAGTGTTGAGGCATAGCACCTAGTAACCGTAAACCCAATAATATCCCGTCCCACGACACTCAACACTCCTCCCTGGCCGTTAGCACGCCATGCCCGTGGGCCACCTATTCTCCACGCGTTACCATCGTTCCCACCCACGGTCGTACCCCTCCATGTCGTTGTCATCCCTTCCACCCCTCCCTCTCCTTTCGTTTCAGACACAGAGACAGCGCTGGCAGAGAAGGATCGGCGGGCGCCTCACTAAATGCTGACGCTCGGCGAGCGTCCACAATCGTCGCGACACCTGCTCGATAGCAACATGCCTTAATTTCGGTTGAAACCCTAAATATTGCAACAATTGGACCAGGCTGCTGCACTTGGCCAAATGCAAGATGACATTTTCACGGTTAAGTAACAACCACTGTACCATTAATTTGTATGTATTGCCAACGTGCAATGTGCACATTTATATTACCCTAAATCAAATGAGAGGCTATTAAAACAGGACAGACAGTGTCGTGTACATGAAGAAGCATACACACTCCATACAGGAGCAAACCAACGCTCGACGGTCGTGATATTCACCACGATGGAAACATACTCTTAGCGTGTCCTACAGTTACCACTTTCTGTACAAGAACCAACAACGCACAGGAGTTCGCACTCAAGATGTGAGATCGAGGCCAGATGTGGACGAGTTTGTGGCAAGAATCCCCATGTTAGATGCAAGTTACATGCATTTGAGGCGAGTTGGACCCACCCCCAGTTTTTGGGACGCATCAGTGAGAAGCGCGCGTTGGTGCTGAAGCTTGGGGGGGCGCTCGGGGGAAGGGGGGGAGTGGGGTGGAGTGAGAGGGAGTTTGGATTGAAGTGGAAGGGCATGCTGCACGAATGGAGGGAGGTGTGCGATGCGAAGAGAAGTGGGGGGAAAAAGAGGAGGGGGTGCGCAGGGCCCGAGGATTGAAGTGTGATCGAACCGATGATAGCTTGATGGCGCCTGCAAGTCATATTGTTGTCACCCCTTGTGAGAGGCCTTTCCTTTGCTCGCCCTCCGGCCACTGCCCTGTGTGTGACTCCCGTGCAGCGTGTGGCGGTGGTGACAGGGGCGGGTGTGTCTGCAGCATCAGGCGTGCCCACCTTCAGAGGGGCGGGTGGGCTCTGGCGCAGTTATGATGCCACGGTGGGTGCCATGCCACGGTGGGTGCCATGCCATCTTGCATGCTTCATGAAGTTCGTGTTGGTTGATGTGATGCGCCGTGGTGGGTCACTCGCATGCTGCTTTGCTGTGTGCGGCACTTATAACACCATATCAGTTGTCACCCCCCTTCCTCCCTTCCCTCGCCCTCGCCCCTTGCACCTTCGCCCTTCTCACCCCTGCGCCCACAGGAGCTGGCAACCCCACAGGCGTTTGCGGCGGACCCATCGCTGGTGTGGGAGTTCTACCACTACCGCAGGTGCTGCCCTCCTGCTGCCTACCACCACTATAGCCACTTCCTTCCGTCTGCCACCACTGCAGGCTCTTGCCTCAAGTGTGGTTTTGTTGTCCGAGCCTTCTTCTTGAATTGACCGCTCTAGATCGTGCCTAGCCTTTTATAGCCGCATTTAGACGAACTTTTGGAACATGTTCTTACCATTTCGTTTTTATCTCCCTTGTTCCTTTCCACTATTTCCTCCTTGGGCATGACTGGCTGGCAGGAGTGTGGTGGCACGGTGCACACCCAATGCGGGCCACGAGGCGCTGGTGCAGCTGGAGTTTCGCTGCCAGCGGGAGGGCAAGGCATTCACGCTCCTCACACAGGTGCCCGTGTTCCTCTGCCGGCTCCAGGCCTTGGTGCCATGTCGTTTTCCCACTATTTACGGCTCACATGGACCCATGCCCCTCGCCAGCATCGCAATGTGGATGGACTGCCATGCTCGGCTGGGGCAGTAACATCTTCAGCTGCTTGCACCATTGCCGTCACATGTGCCCTCGTCTTGCCTGCACGGCCCTGCTGCACTCCTCGCTGTGCATTGGCGGCATGCCCACCATCGCCCCCCACCCATCGTCACCCCTCACCATCCCCTGGCAAACCTCAGAACGTGGACGGGCTGCACACAGCGGCGGGCAGGAGCGCGCTGGTGGAGCTGCATGGCTGCCTCTGGCGCACCCGCTGCCTAGCCTGTGGGGACATCGCATAGAACCGCACTCAACCCATCTGTGCTGCTCTGGAGGGCAAGGTACTGGGGCTGAAAAAGGATGGGCGAAATGGGGACGGTTGGCAATGGTGGGAGGGGCTTGGGAAGAATGCTGTAATGTAAGGTTCAGTGAGGGGTTGGGGAAAGTGCAGTGATGGTAAATCCTTGATTGATGGAATTGTGCATTGCTGCTCCCTTCTTGGCTGCATTGCTGCAGGGAGCGCCCAGCGAGGGTGCCAAGGCAGCGAGCATAGCTCTCAAGGACCTGCCGCGCTGCACCAAGCTGCCCGGGAGTGCAGCTTCAAGCCGACCCTGCAATGGGTTGCTTCGGCCGGACGTGGTGTGGTTCGGGGAGTGTTTGGATCCGCGGGTGGTGCAAGCAGCAGAGGACGCCCTCACTGGCTGCGACCTGCTGCTCATTGTCGGAACATCCGGTGTTGTGCATGTGAGCTACTGTGTGTGTGTGTGTGTGTGTGTGTGTGCGTGCATGTGAGGCAGTGTGTGTGTGTGCGTGTGTGCGTGTGTGTGTGTGTGCATATGAGGCACTGTGTGTATGTGTGCATATGAGGCAGCGTGCGTGTGTGTGCATATGAGGCAGCGTGTGTATGTGTGCATATGAGGCAGTGTGTGTGTGTGCATATGAGGCAGTGTGTGTGTGTGCATATGAGGCAGTGTGTGTGTGTGTGCATGTGAGGCAGCGTGCATGATACACATCAACGGCATGTTGTATTTGTGTGCATGTTTACTCCCATCCATTCCTCCCCTGGTCCTCCGCTGCCAGCACTGGGTTCATCACAGGCTACACCAACAAGCAGTCCACTTCTCGTGCTCCTTTTATGCTGTACTCCTGCTCTCCTCTTCCCTGACAAGATCTGTGTTCCGAGGCCCTGACAGGAGGTTAGGTGGCATCACTGAACCCACTCCCTCCCATCTCACCTCCTTCCATCCTCTTCACCTCACCCGTTCCCTCCCCTTCCCCTCTGTCAACCCACCCGGATGCACCTCGGTGGGAGGTGCAGCCAGCAGCAGGGTTTGCTTGGGTGGTGCGGGCGGCAGGGGGGCGGGTGCGGAGTTCAATGCGGAAGCCACGGCACTCTCCCCTCTCGCCACGTGGAAGTTCCCAGGAGACTCTGCCATGCTTCTGCCACTCGTGCTGGGGTGAATGGAAGCAAAATGGGGTGATGGCAACTCAGCAATGTACCGGTATATACAGACCGGAATGCGTTATGAAGGATTGATCGTCAGCCACACATGCGACCAGGGCCTCAGATTCGTCAAATTTTCATCGCACAAAAGAATGCCCGAAACGAATGTTCAATCAACCTATGTTGTATGGTACCGTATGGTTCAATCGGGTGATGCATCGCACCATGCACTGCTCTGTAGAACTACAATAGATGCACAAACAATGCAGATAATATTACACTATGTATGCTGATTCACCTGTCAATAAAGCTGACTACCCTTCAAACTATAATCAACCAGCATGTCACGACATCACGATTTCAGATGAAACATTGCCATGCCATGCTATGATATCAGCAGTCTCTGAGGCCCATCGTTTTGGACATCTTAGCACCAGGAGAAACGTTCTGTACTCTTGAGAAAGTGCAGGGAACTGCAGCAAGGTGACGTTTGAATCGACTCAGGAGTCACCCAAAAGCACCTAGGGCGTTGCTGAGCCACATGCTGCCTCCTCTGCTGCACATCTCGGTGTTTTGACGGCAGCACCTGTCGAGTTCTCCAATGCTTCAATTTGGACCTGCATGGATGCATGAACAGCAAACCATTGGAAACCAGAAGCAGCTCCTCGCGTGATCAGAAACTTCTACAAGGTGACTCTAGGATTGTTTGAGCTCTAAGAGACGGTGACACGTACCTGGCACGCAACGCGCGCACACTTTGAACATGCTTACGCGTCAGCGGTAGTAGTTGCTAACAATTGCCAACATTGATTCGAAAGATACAACAGTATAGAAAACCGGTGAGTGTACCTGTAGGTCTCGTATGTGAGAGAGGGCAGACTCCACCATTGTGGCTGTATCGAGTTGTGCTCTTGTGAGAGATGGGGGTAGCACCCTACGAAGCTTCTCTAGGCCTCTCCTGATACAATCACATCCAAAATATGCACAGGAATAGAAGGTCACATGCTCACTTGATACAGGCCTCGAAAGAAAGTAACTCAGGTGTCACACACAAGGCCAACTGCCCACTGAATGTCCAATCAATGCAAATGGCAGATAGGGCTCAATACGAAGAGGAGGGTGAGGGGAAGAGGAGGGGGAGGGGAAGAGGAGGGGGAGGGGAAAGAAGAGGAAGGAGGAAGCCGTAGTGGACAGGGGGAGAGGAGGAAGAGAATGGGGCGGGTGATGGCGGAGGAGGAAGGGGAGGGTGAAAATGGAAAAGAGAAGGGAACGAAGGGGAGCAAACAGCGGGAAGGTTAGAGAGGAATGGAGGGAAGAACGGTCACCGGATGCGATCGCGGCGGTGCCTCTCCTTCATGCTCCTGGCCTGTATGCATCCCAGCCCCACCGCCTGCCCATCCAATCGTGCTCGAATGCGCGGTCGCCAGTCCTCCCCTTCCCACCCGCCCTCCTTCCGCTTTGCCTCTTTCACTCCCGTCTCTTCCTTTCTCACCGCCCATTCTGCCTTAATCACTTCCCTCTCGTCCGATACTCCCCTCACTTTCGACCACTGCAGTACCTTCTCCGAACCAATCAGGGACGTCCACGTGGCAGGAGGCTCTTGCACTGTCACGGCGTGACCCCATTCTCCCTCATGGTACACACCAGGAGTGGCAGCAGGTGAACAGCAAGCACCAGCACAGCCAGGCGTGCAGCAAACACCAGGAGCGGTGGGCGTGAAGAAAGCAGGGAGCGGACAGGCAGCAGCAGCAACAGCTGCAACAGCAAAGCGTGATGCTGGGGAGGCCGCAAGAGATGCATCGTCGTGTGAGTTAAGGCAGGCGCTGGCGGGCCCGGCAAGGCCGCCTGACAATGCAGGGTCCATGCTGTTCATCCCTTGTCCCTCCTGTACTGTGCACCCTAGAGGCGCCTCAAAAGAACAACTTTGCATCGTCCCTCCCTCGTGCAGCATCGCTCCCTCCATCCCGCCACCCCACATCATCCCTCCCTCCTGCATCCCCCCATCCTGCAACATCAAAGCTTCCAGCATCAGCATCCCCTCCAGCACCCCCCCCTCCTCCTGGCTTGCACCTAAGCACCTACCCTCCTCCAGCCACACCGGGAAAGCCAGGGCTGGTTTTTCCACCTCAGCGTGCCCTTGAGAATACTCAAGCATCTCATGCACACGAGAATCGCCCATCCCCCCTTGCTCCTCCATCCGCATCTGCATCTGCGCGTAACGGGCGGCATGCACAGATTCTTGGATCAAATCGGGTGGCAGAGACAGCCCTGCCAGCTCAGCCTGTGCCACCCAGCTTCTGACCGCCACTTGCTGCTGTTGCACCAGAGAGGCCGATGCTGCACCAAACTTATCAATGGTAGCGACATCACCACCAACGCCTGCTACCACCATACTGTCTGTTCCAGATGCGCTCAAACCATGTGCGCTCCAGCTCTCCACTGCCACTTGATGCTGCTGCCGCCGCCGCCGCCGCTGCCGCTGCTGCCATTGCTGTTCCTGAAACAGCTCCACCATGGCTCGTTCCAAAACAGGAACTTGAGCATGTGAAAGGGACAGAGACTGCACGGGCTCCTGGGGACTCACATTCAGCCGACGCTGCATGCAAGGCGCCATGGCGAGCTCCTCAAGCTGTCCCTGGCGCCTCAACAGCGCCTGCCCAGTGCTCCCATTGGAGCCTCGAGGCACCTTGAGAAGTGGGGTAGGCGGACACACGAGGGCTGCTGCCACAATGGGCTCTTCAACTTGTCCCTGGAGCCTCACCAGCTCCGCCAAGAGACCACTCTCCTCCTCCTCAGTCCCTACATGCGATTCTTGAGGCGCCTCGAAGGTAAATGGCCCGTGGCGCCTCAGCAGCTCCGCCAAAGGACCACTCTCCTCCTCATCCGTATAAAGACGCCGTCTGTCCATCTCTGTAGGTCAGATGTTCTCTGGTTTGCTTCAAGGATGCTTGGCTTGAAGGTCACTGGGAGGTGTAACTCCTGGTGCGGAGCGGAGCTACCCAGCGAGATACAAGCTGGCAAATCCGAAGCACCTACAAGGCAGGAAGCATCGACGCGGAAGTCCAAGGTATGGCTGCGAGGTCTCGATAGCCCGGATTACAGGAAAGGGGAGTAAACGTTTATAGAATGCAGGAGGGAAAAGGTGAGTATAGTACCGCCGTAGCTTCAACGCCTTCCTTACTACTCCCTCTCCTCCTACTACTTGGCCTGTGATTGCCAGGGCCGCAGCCGCCACGAGTTGAAGGCGAAAAGAAGGAGCGCGAGGATGCTGGTAACCACCGAAGGGAGCTCCTGGAAACGCGGCACTGAGACTCGCAGATACTAGCTTCCAGCAGTGCGAGCCAGCTCCCACAGCCGCGAGCCATGTCCACCGTCCAGCCACCACGAGAGGACATCTTTAATGCGGGAGGAGGTTTCTCACGCCGGGATGGCAGTTCTATAGCCACGATCTGTCTCGACGCGGGCGTTGCCTTTTCAGGAGCCTAAGGAACGACTTTGGCATCGCAACCTCGCACTTGGAGTCAAGCGTGGCGGGAGTGGTCTGCATCAAACGCGAAATCGACGAATTTCAGTTGCTATTACCGATTGGCTTGGCGTTGAGCGATTGTGCGTCATCACCTACACGCGAACGCGCATCTAGGGGCGAAATATCTAGACTGAGTCCTACTCAAGTTTTCAATCGCCGCAGATGGAATTTTCCAACTCGACGTATCACGTGAACGGGGGGAGCAATGACGAGAAAGCTGACGGAGCAGGATGATCGCGTCACGTGATGGTCTGTCGTCACGGGATCTGTCGGGAAATACTACTGAAGGGGCGAAGGCAAGTTCGTCAGATTTCGACCATGTGATAAGAAGGTTGAACAGTCTTCAGCTTCTGTTCCTGCTGTTTCGTGTTCCCTCCTCCGCTCCCTGCCGCATGCTTCTCCCGCACCTTCGCGCCCAGTGGACAACGACAACTTACGTCACGAAACGAAGCACGCTTCCCCGGTTCCCGTGTTTCCCCATCCCTGGCCGGGTGAGCTGGCGGATTCCGAGAGCGCAGACGCGGGTAGTAAGGAGCGAAGGGGCGGCGTTGTAAGGACGTGTGGTTCGACACTGATCGTCTGTCAGCTAACGAGGAGTCCCTGTTCGCGGCCGATTACATAAGAACGTTCTATGATCGGTTTGGTTGGGCGGCAAGAGGCGACAACCCTCTCCATTCTCTTGTCGGCCGCCTGTTCAGTCGGGACATCGATACAATACAATCAGAATCGCTACCGTTTGACCCGACATCGAGCAGAAATTAGCGTGCATACGACTGAGGGAGGGGCTCGTGAGGCAACTCCCTCTTCATTTACTCCTCCCAGCCTGTTTTGGCAATCTCCTCACAGGCACACCACCTTCCCACCCCTCTTCTCGAAATAAGCGTGTTTCTTAAAAGGAGACGAGTCTCACTAGAGATGTTGAGTGCGAGATTCTGCTTCGTGTTAAGTTGACTAGTAGTGATTCGAAATACTGTAGTCTACAAAGCAGGTCACTGCCATGGCAGCCTGTTGTGCGGAAAATGACAGATGTGACAGTTCCCAGCTAACCACAACTGCCCAGTCCCTCCTCTCCTAACAGAAGCAACATCTAATCGCTGATTTGCGGAGGGGGAGAGATCAACACACACACCGATCTAGCGGAAATATTCACGTGACAAGCAGGTGATCGCATTGAATCTGGTACATCCTCGGATTTGACAGTCCGTGTTAGGCCCACTGGCCTAAGTCCGCTAAAGAATTAGCGGGGTCGACTAAGTCAGGATGAAACGCGGCGGAAGACTTTGGCGAAAGAACTAAGAGCGAAATAGGCGAATAAGTTACTGAGTAATTGAAGAAGAGTTGAATAAGATTGGTTGATATTGGGGAACACAAGCAAGGTTGATATAGCTTGCAAGATCGAATGATGGAAAGTACTTCGTGGGACTAGAAAGTAGAAGCAAGAAAAGTAGAGTGCCACATGGCACAAGGAAATCAAGGAAGATAAGGATAGGGGTGAGTTGGAAAGTACTATTCAAAGGGAACAGTAAATCCCCCTTTAACACTACCCCCCTTCCAAGGAGGCGACATCCGCGGCGCCTGCAGACTGAATGTACGCTTGGATGTAAGCGTTGTCAGGAGACAGTGAGGACGAAGGAACCCAGCTGTCGCCGACTGCGTCGTAACCACGCCAACGAACCAAGAAGTCGATGAAAGAGACACCCCCCTGCAGACGGCGACGGTACTTGAGGATGCGCTGGATCTGGTAGTCGGGCTCGTCGGTGTCAACAGCTACCGGCAGTGGATTGCGATCACGGCCCGAGAAGGTGGCGTTGGGATCGGTGTAAGGTCGAAGAAGAGACACGTGGAATGACGGGTGCATGCGGAAATGAGCGGGAAGGCGGAGGCGGTATGCGACTGGACCAAGTGCGCGCTCAATGACGAATAGACCAATGAAACGTGGACGAAGCTTGGTGTTCTGTGGCAATCGGAGGTTGCGGCTATCCAAGAGAACACGGTCGCCGACTGCGAACGACACCTTACGATGAATGCGGTTGGTGGTGCGTGCCATGCATGCATTTGCGAGCTCAAGGTGCTTCCATACGTGATCATGGATGAATGTGAGATGCTGGTGGAAGTTGTCCGCACGAGGGACTGTAGGTGTGAGATCGACACGAGTGGGGACATTGGGGTGCTGACCGTATAGTGCGAAGAACGGTGACATGCCTGTCAGAACATTATAGCTTATACATTTGTGTAGGTTGTAGTAGGGTAGCCCACAAGGGGTACAACCCAATTAGGGTAGGTACTTGTACCCAACTCTTTCATAGTTCAATCATTCTCTTGTTCTAAGTTTCACATGGTATAGAGCTGGTTCCCTCGTGGGAACTGTTCCTAGGGCCCACCGATCCTTTTTTTTTCCTGCCCGGAGCGCGCTTGGCCCCTGCCCGAGTCGCGCCCCGTGTCGTTCCCCCCTCGCGGCCTCTAGCGGCCCCTCTTACGGCCCCTCACGGCCCAGTCGCGCCGCACTTGCGGCCCCGTCGCGCCGCCCTTGCGGCCCCGTCGCGCCGCCCTTTAAGTGGCCCCGTCGCCGCCCCTTACTGCGGCCCCATCGCCGCCCTTAGGCAGCCCTGTCGCCGCCCTTTTCAGCGGCCCTGTCGCCGCCCTGTCGCGGCCCAGTCGCCGCCCTTTCACCGGCCCCGTCGCCGCCCTTCAGCGGCCCCGCCGCCGCCTTTCAGCGGCCCCGTCGCCGCCCCTACCTGCGGCCCCATCGCCGCCCTTCAGCGGCCCCGACACCGCCCTTTCCGAGGCCCCGTCGCCGCCCTTTCCGCGGCCTCGTCGCCGCCCTTTCTGCGGCCCCGTCGCCGCCCCTACCTGCGGCCCCGTTGCCGCCCTTCAGCGGCCCCGACACCGCCCTTCCGCGGCCCCGTCGCCGCCCTTTCAACGGCCCCGTCGCCGCCCACCCCTTCCGCGGCCCTGTCGCCGCCCTTTCGCGGTCCCGTCGCCGCCCTTTCAACGGCCATGTAGCCGCCCTTTCAGCGGCCCCGTCATCGCCCCTACCTGCGGCCCCGTCGCCGCCCTTTCAGCGGCCCCGACGTCGCCCTTCAGCGGCCCAGTTGCCGCCCTTCAGCGGCCCCGCCGAGCCGCCCTTGCTGCCGAGCTGCCGAGCCGCTGCGCCGCCGAGCCGCCGAGCCGCCTGTGCTGCCGAGCCGCCTTTGCCGCCGAGCCGCACTGCAGCCGAGGCCCCGCCGGGTCCGCCTCACTTACCCTGCCCGGGTCCGCCTCACTTACCTGGTACGAGCAGCGCCTCTGCCACTGCACTGCCCTGCTCCACTGTACTCACTGCCTGTCTACTACTGTCATGGCCACCCCTAGTGTTCTCACCTTTGACGCTGAGGGTCGGGCAGTTGACTTTGAGGTTTAGGTAGATGATTTGCAGCTTTTGACGAGAAGTGAGAATGTAATGAATGAACTATGAAACAGTTGGGTACAAGTACTAACCCTAATTGGGTTGTACCCCTTGTGGGCTACCCCACTACAGCCTATACAAATGTATAAGCTATAATGTTCTGACACACCCCCATAGGCAAAGTGGGGGAGAACAAGTGGTCACAAGACCAGTCAAGCAAAGCAAAGCAAAGCAAGCTCAGGGTGGATCACAAAGTCACCACACAGTCCGAGCACTAGAGTAAGGCCACAAGGCTAGTTCACATGCAAGGTCATACATATAAAGGTAAAACAAGCAAGGGCAGGTATAGAAAGCATACAGTACAAACAAGATCAAGAAGTGAGCAAGTGAGGCGAGGTAGGCACAAGACCTAGAACAATACAGAAACGCTGATGATCACAAGGCGAAAGGGCCTTGGTGAAGATATCAGCACTGTTGGCCTCAGAGGCAACGTAGGTGAGGCGGAGCTGACCACACTGCTGCAGCTCACGAGACAGGAAGTAGCGGAGAGCAATGTGCTTCGTTCTATGCTCCAGTCTGTGCTCCCGACACAAGGCCAGCATGGCCTTGTTGTCTACGTACAGAACAGGAGGAGAACGAGGCGGCTCTCCTAGGTCAGTCAGCAGGTAGGTGAGCCAGCGTAGCTCCTGTGCAGCCATGGCCCCTGCGTAGATCTCAGCCTCACAGCTGGAGCCGAGAACAGAGGACGAGCGGGTAGACCGCCACGAAACAGAGCCGGAGCCAAGGCTGAAGGTGTAACCCTGTGACGACCACTGCATAGCCTGGTCGTCAGCCCAAGAAGTGTCAGCGTGACCTGTGAGGACTACTCGACGTCGCCCTCCAAGCACTAGCCCCATGCCCGACGTACTGCACATGTAGCGCAACACCCTCTTCGCTGCAGCCATGTGCTCAGGTCGGTGTCTCCTAGGAGCAACATAGCGTGCCAAGATGCTAAGAG